AGGAGTCACAAACGGGAATAAAGATTACAGAAATTGAACGTTTTTTGTAATCTTTGATTGGCTCATTCTCAAATTCCTTTTTCCGTTCCTTCTTTCATTCCGTTTGTTCCTTGCCGAACCCGTAATTCCCCGGTCCATTCCAGATTATAATCTTTGCAATCGGTGAAAATGTAATCTTTATTCCCGTTTGTGACACTGTGGAGGCCTAAAATACGGGAACCAATCAGAAATGGATTCACATTCTCTCGACTCTCAGTATAAAGGGACTCTACATCCACCGTGCGGCGGTCGCGAGAGGAAACGGCGGGATGATGCAGGAAAAGGCGGAAGCGTTGCTCGGCGGAGGGCGGGCGAGAGAACAAGGCGAAGTGTAGGAACAAACCTGCCCGGCCTGTCCGGGCCGCGGGACGGTTGACTCCGGATTGATGCGGCATTATAATCGCGATAAAACGGCGTTTCCGCTCAAATGACAGCCATCGCTTTGATGTGTTTCCGGTCTGCCAGCGGCCACGAACGCCACGAACGCCGCGGTGCAGCGCGGCATTATCCTCGCTCCGCTACCGCCTAGTCGGATCCCTGTCTGCCGGGTTGCACGCTTTCGCCCAGCGAAATTGTCCGTAGTGATAAGGATCGTGTATGTAGAGAGTATGGACGTGTCGAAATGGAGATGTTGCATGTGTGAGGAATTTGCGATTTGACTAGTGATTCTTGTGTAAAAGTTCGAAAGAAACACGATGGTGCCACTGGTTTTCTCTGAAATCAACTCCCAAGCACATAAAAAGCTCTCAAGTTGAGGCCAAAATGGAGGGGATATCCCAACCTACCCTGAGAGTCCACATCTACATCAAGACTAACTCTCCATGCGAAAATAGGGAGCAAGTAAATTAGCAGGGTTGCCGTGTTTTCAGTTTTAGAGTCCCCAAATAAAGTGGCAGCCCTGTCAATGTATTTGCTCCCTATCGTTGCATGGAGAGTTTGTCTTGATGTAGAGGTGGACTCTCAGGGTAGGGTGGGATATCCCCTCCATTTTGACCTCAACTAGAGAGCTTTTTTTGAGCTTGAGAGTTGATTTCAGAGAGAACCAGTGGCACCATCGTGTTTCTCGCGAACTTTTACGTAAGAATCAATGTTGGAAAGAATCAATGAAAATGTTTACCTGTGTGTGCTCGAAGTGTGTTTCAGACTTTTCCGACGCGCTGATTTTTTTGTGATCTCACGCATAATTCAACTCCTCAGTTGGCTGTATCTCTCGTGTGCAACAGACCAATTACACAGCGGTCTTAGTGGAGGGTGGTCGTAGCGTAGTGGGGCGCTAACTCTTTTAACTGCGTAGAAGGAGCTTTTATCTCGACGAGTCAGCCGCAACGGCCAGGTTAATAGGAGAGCTCCATTTGTTGACTCCGTCTCGGTGACCTCGCTACGCTTCCTCTTACGAATTAATTTAGAGGGGCCCATTATTTATCGACCTGTCTTGTTAGCTTAAATATGTAATTAAAGGGGGTGGAATTATTTCGCGACAACCCTTTTGGCGCGGTTCCAGTTTCCATCTGTCCCCCTCGTTGTCAAATCTCTCTGAGGGAATGGACCTAAATTACCTGTACAAGGGACAGTATTCTGCCGTGACAGCGAAGAGAGCCGTAAGTGTAAAAATGAAGTTCTGAGAAAACGGGCTCAGAAGCTTCTGACCGGAACATTTTATTGAAAGAAGCCTCCGTTCTTTGTCAAATTGCCACTATTCGTCCGGAAGACTCCTAGAAATCGTCTGGATGATTAAAAATCGACCGATTTTATTTCCATTACGTAAAAATGGTATTTTTCAGTTTCATGCTAGGTTATTGTTAGGCAAGACAGCCGTAAGTTCTATATCTTCTGCATGCTTTCGTGGTTGCGTTTTGGACGCACAACAAACACATTTTCAGGTTAGAAATTGGCAGAAGAGGGCGGCACTTTACTGGAAAGCACTGTTTTCATTGGCTCTCATGCACCTGCGGCTGTCTTGAAAAAAACTATATCACTTTTTGTGCCCTTACGGCTTTTACATACGTCTCGTTTTCATTAAAAAGGATGAATTTTGCTGTTTTAGCTGTCTCAGTAATTTCATCTAAAGAGTTTATACGAATTTTGAAGAAAACTCGATTTCGAAAATTTTGCACTCTCGGCTCTCTTCGCTATCACGGCAGTATTGCCGTCGGTGCCGCTCTCTGATTGGCTCATCAGTTTCAGGCTATCATGGAGCTCCAAATTTGGCCTAATTTAAACAGACCCGACCCTGAGGAATACGTATTATCGGCTGATAAATGGATGATTATCACACTCAAAGCTTAATTTTCGGCAAAAATATCCATTACAGGTCGATTCGAACTCAGTTCAGAAATTGATCTTAAAACAATTTCTATCACATCCAAAATCACGTCTAGAACTTCATAGAACTTTTTCACCATCTTGTTTGTTTACATTGGGCCAAACAAGGAGCGGAGAGGCTGGGGTTTGTTTACATCGGTCCAACTTTGGGGCTCCATGATAGCCGACCAATCAGAGAGCGGTACACTATTTCGGTAGTAAAAGGATTGAGGTGGCAATACTCCCCCGTATACAGGTACCCTAAATGGACCAAGTAGGCAGGGTATGAAGTTAAATTGATTCAATGGCCGCCATATTTTGTGTCAGGACGACATGGGATATATCGCATCGATGAGTTCCATTTTTTCGGTACTCGTGCAGATGTCGCTCGAATTTTGACAATTTTGTTGTCAGCAGTGGCGTGGCTTGAATTGCGATTTATGGATTGTTCTGTCATTTAAACCTATGGTAAAGAATCGATTATTGAGGTGTTCGCTGCGAACACCCTGTTTATCGATCCTTTTCCATAGGTTTGAATGGTATAACAATCGATATATCGCAAATCACGCCACGCCTCTGGTTGTCAGGAGACTAAAGAATTCACTCACCACTTGAGAAAGAAATTCAACGTAATGAAGGCGTGGTTTTTTTAGTGGAAAATATCTCATTTTAGTGCACTTTCGACATCAGTATCGAATGTAATGTTTTCCCTCTGAAAAAACCACGCTTTTATCACGTTGGATTTGTTCATCAAAATTGATAAGCGAATTCTTTAGTCTCCTGACAACAGAATCGCGAAAAAGAAAAATTAGAAAAAAATTGGCAGCACTGTCCGTGTGGCGAATCACTCGCGTCAACGATCATTAAAATATTCTCACCTGCGAACATTTTCTCCGCGATGACACTGCCAACTTCCGCTACTAAAGGCGGGAGAAATTGTTGCCAGGTAGTGCTCTTAAATCAGGATTTTTCTCCTTTTTAGCTAAACTGGAAATATCCACATTTCATCGCAAAATCTGACAAATTCGGTAGGAGATGCGAGTTACTCAGCTCATCTGCACGCTTGCCAGGCTCCATAGACTTACGAAATTCCGATTACGTATTCCCCGCTCATGTCTTCGCACAATATTTGCATAAGTGTAGAATTAAACTAATAATGGACCACTAGACGAGGTACAAATTTCAGCATTCTGATACATGATTCTTGATCAAAATTTCACGTAAAATACGATGCGTACAACAAAAATCACCGAAATCAACGCCTTACGAAGATATTTAATAATTCTTTATGCGTGAATTCAAACCACCCGCTCATGAAAACTCAATGCTCTACGTGATTCACATCGCGCGCTAAAGGTTATCATGACAGCCTCTGCTATATAAAAATCTGGCAACCTCAATCTTGACGCTTTGGCTCAGCTATAGCAAATTGCTTATAGTTTGAACAACACATGGTGGGAAATGAACATTGCTTGATTAAGAAGCTTGCTGAAACCGTTGTAGTGCGCGATTTGACTCACGTAGAGCTTTGAGTTTCTTGTGAGCGGGCAGTTCAAATGCCCCGTAACCAATGCGTAATAAAAACCTTAATATCTTCGTTAGGAGTTAATTTCAGTAATTTTCATTGCGCGAATCTTGTTCTGCGTGAAATTCTGGTTAAGACACATGTATTAGAATGCTTAAATTCGTACCTTGTCTAGTGGTTCATTATCAAACAATGTTTTGCAAAAACGAACGTCTATTAATTCTCAAGAAAAATACTCAACTTTTGAATGTGGAATAGATCTAATGACATCTTTGCGACTTCCATTTCCTCTACATTTTTACTTTATTTCAATTGTTTTCCTAATTTTTGACGTAGAATTAATATGATTATTCTTCCGTTTATATTCTGTTTTAAATTATTTAATATTATACGTATATTTGTAATAATTTGTACATAAATTTTATCACTTATTTTAGGATTTATATCTATATGAGTGATGAACAGGATTATTAGTTTGAATAATATAAAGAAATTAATGATCTTTGACTCATTACAGTAATAACATTTGGACTGTAGCATACGGAAAAAACCAAAGTTTGTTGGGAGGGGGGGGGGAGGTCTGTTTGCTTTAAAGCGACGATATTTTGGCAGGCGGAACGTAAGTGCATGTGAGAGCCATTCGGCAAATACGTAGTTATCCAGTGGGAACCAACTCTGTTGGTCTAATCAATTCAGACTGTATTCAACTTAGGCGACTACTTAGATTCGTGTAATGAAACCCTTGCAATTCCTCCTAAGCTATTTGTTTTTCATCGGTTCGTTACACTTGCGAAGATTTCGGAGAATCCTTGGGTAGCTCAAACGGTCATCATGTCGTGCGTTTCACGCGATCCGCTGCCGTGCTAAGGAAGAACGCCGTTTGAACATTCAAGAGTCACCAAATTTCCCTTGATAAAACATGTATTTTGACAACATTTATGCATATTTTTCCTTGACATTTTGAGGTATATTAGATTAAATTGTGCACAAAATTTTCTAAAAAAAACTCTTAAGAATTTTCGTTTTACTAATCGTGTTCCGCTTGAAATTTTAATGTAAAACATGATTCAATACATTTTGCTTGGTGACTCATTGCAACTTGTGCTAATAATTTTCTCCCGGTTTTTTGTTGCAGATAAATATCTAAATTGTGTGTAAATTTTATTTGATACCCTCGAGAACCTCAGAACTTCACAATGGCGGCCTTCGTAGCGAAACAGATGGTTGGCAACAAACTAAATGCAGTTAAAGGTATGTTTGCATCTCAAAAGCATTATAGTAGATTTATTTATGAGCTGAATTAATCGTCTCTCAAGCCATACCAGTTGATGGCAACTTACAAACTATAGAAGTGAGAAATAGGATTTTATTTTCTACCTACATCAAGAAAACGTAACGGATGACACAGCCATCAATACTCGGAGAACAAAATGATTTTCTAGATACCTCTTATCACGCTCGAGATAATGTCAACGCTGGAATGCAACTATTCGTGGTCTGGGGACGTCCATATTGCATACACAAAAAATTCTAGGGGCTTTGGTTCTGTAAATCACACTACACCTGCTTGCAACTGGACATCGAACCGTAATTACCTTAACCACAGCGGGCGTTGCCCAATTCCTTTTCTTCTTTCATTTTTTCATAAAATTATGCAGGATTCTGACTTGAAATTAAAAAAGCGTGTTCTTAATAATCTGAGGAAAATTAAGAGTAAGCCTTGAGGCGTTTTGTTGTCTGATACTTTGTTAAAAAAAAAAAAGACAATGACAGGAAGTTAGGAAACGTGAATTGCCTTAAACACTAGCTTTACATGAAAATGAAAACACAATACACTTCTCATGTACTTGAATTAAAATCGGTCGAGTTCTAAATCATCCAAACGATTTCTAACAGTATTTCGCATAATTTTATCGGTGGCAATTTAACAAAGGACAGCAGCTTCTTTCAATAATATTTTCCGGTCAAACTCTTCCGAGCCCTTTTTCTCAAAACTTCATCTTAGCATTTGCTGTTTTCCTCGCCATCACGACAGAATCGGGAATCACATCGATCATGTGACTCCTCCCATAAAAGGTACTCTCGATGCAAATGGAGAAAAGACAGTAATCGCAACTCGCAGGAATCGCCACTGCATCAAACGCGATGGGACGAAATCTAACGTCCACCGCGATACATAATTCCCTAGTTCAACCGTCGCGTCGGTATGTAGCGGTGTACTTACTCAAGCGCCAGGTTGTCAAATCGTGGGATGCAAGTGGACAGGAGGCTATAAAATCCGGAGTTTTCGCGACGGAGCGGCAACGGTTGCCGAGTTATAAAGTGCCGCGAACTCATAACGCGGTACTGGCGGGGTGTCGTAAATTATTTTTATGCCCGGCGAACCCGATTCGATCCTGAAACCGCGTAAGTTCGCCGTGAGAACGGTGGGACATCCGCGGTTTTTGTCCGCGAGGGTTTTTTCCCCTGATTTGGGTCGTTTCGCCCCGCGTCTTCGGGTCACTTCAACTTTGCTCTTTTCACCCGCGAGGCGGGCTCCTGCCGATCGTTATCGAAGTGACCCGGATCGATGCGTCCCCATCTTAGCAATGCTATTTATCGAATGGAGTCGCTCGAGATAGAGTCTATAATCGACGCTCAGGTATCGATCGGGAAAATTGCGAGGGAGAATTTGTCACCGGCGGAGTGGGGCGGGCTTTGATGGCCAATTTCCGGGCGGCACGTAGTTTTATTGCAACGGGAGTTGATCTGCCGTTTGTCTGTGTTTGAACTTTCGGACGGATGAGGAAAAAAGGGAAAAAGAGGAAGGGGGAGGAGGCAAAGAAGATAGGATGAAGAGGAGTAAAGTGTACGAAGGAAGGGAGAAAACGGTGAGCAAATGAGTCGAAATAAGTAGAAATCTGTGAGAAATAGTAGAAAGAAAACAAAGAGACGGTGTAAGCAAGGCTAAAATACACAAAATTATATGAGACGTTTCGGTATCCCACGTCACCATTATCAACCGCTGAAAATAGTGAAGTACACTGGAAAAAAAAACACATTGGATCTAGAGTCCAGGCTCTTGAAAACATTGACAAGAAAAAATACTCTTGATTCAATCGGATTTTTGCTTGAATCAAAACGAAATCCGCTTAAATTAAGAGGCATGGTTCTTAATTTCAGCTAGATTCTGATTGAGTCAAGAATATACTTTTTCTTGTCGATGTTTTAAAGAGTCTGGACTCTAGATCCAATGTGTTTTTTTCCAGTGTGCAAAAAGGAAAACAAAATTAAAATCAAACGATACCAGCAGGACGTTACATGGTGATCCTTTTTTTCAGTGAAATTCAACTGCATTGAATGGGTTTTAATCAGGTGTGATGCTCAATGTAAGCAAAAACTCAATGCCAAAACTCTCTTAATTTTCCTTACCTTCGTGAAAACCTTGCGAAAATAGAAATTGCGAAGCTCGCAAAGCTTCGGGCATTCCGTGTGTATCATTTGGACGTATTTATGCTAAAAAGACGTATGTACATAGGGTTTGCTCACAACATAGTTTCTTTTAGCATAAACACGTTCATTTGCAGGAGTAGTGGAACTCGCCAAGTCGCCGATGCTGTCGCAATCCGTTCAGCATTTTTCGTGTGTCCGCATTCCTTGACATTCATTCAAGAAGCTCTCCCGTCCCTCTCAGCGATTAGGAAGGGGGAGGGAGGGGGAGGGATTGCCATGCTCCTTTCAGGCAACTTCTCCCCCTCCAGCCTCGCGAAATTGAATACCGCAATATTTATCCGGGAAATTATCCTGACCCAGTTCTTCCTTGCAGTCCCCCAGTGAAATTTTCGAACACGTATTATTCTTTCGGGTTTTCCCGGTTGCCGGATCTCGTTGAAAAATTTAACCCTCTACTGCATCGCGTAGCCATATGGCAACAGCAATTATTTAATTCGTAGTAAATTCAGGAATGCTCATATTGGTACCCTGTGTGGATTATAGGGAACTCAACCGCATTACCAACCTAAAAAAAATTGTGGTGGGGGGAACTGAAGCTGCCAAATCAACTAAATAATCATGTTTTTCCAACGGGACCATTTTTGAGGAGTAGCCGCGAGGAGCCCAACTTTGAAGGATGTTTTGAATGACTTGGCTTGCCTTCAGAGACGGGAAAAAAATCACAGTTATGGCCCATACGGTCTAAATTGAAAATTTCCTGATCCGATGATAATAAAAACAATTTAAATATTATTTTCGGCTCAAAAACGGCAAGATGCCATATGGCAACAACATACCGGCAAACTTCTGGCCCTACACTTTTCCTGTTGCCATATGGCAACAACATACTGGCTCCGACGCAATCATGTGTCGTGCTGTCCAAAAACGGAGCTTACAATTCATCATTAGATGCTTTTTGAATTTGGTAATGTTAGAAGAATCAAAAAAACTTTTTTTCTTAGTTTTTTTTTCCAAAAGTCCCGCACAAGAGTTATGCCCTGGCATCACCATTCCACTCCTGTACTGTATGTTGTTGCCATATGGAAACAAGTGGATACTCTGGCAAGAAATTACTACATGTTGTTGCCGTATGGCAATGAGCTTTTTTAAGCTTCAAAAGTTAAAGAAAAAATTGAAATTTCAAAAAAAGCTCAAAGACGTGTCTTTTTAATTACATTTTACTATAACATATATTTTTTTCATCAAAATCGGCGTCGCAAAAAAATTCCATGCAGTAGAGGGTTAAAATTGGACTACATTTTCTAATTTGGAAGTAAAAATTCTAGCCCGGTTTAAAAACAACGTACACTGGAAAAAAAAACACATTGGATCTAGAGTCCAGACTCTTGAAAACATTGACATGAAAAAATACTCTTGATTCAATCAGATTTTTGCTTAAATCGAAAGGAAATCCGCTCAAATTAAGAGACTTGGTTCTTGATTCAAGCAAAAATCCGATTGAGTCAAGAGTATTTTTTCTTGTCGATGTTTTTTAGAGTCTGGACTCTAGATCCAATGTGTTTTTTTTTTCCCCAGTGTATGTACCATTAGTGTCCCTACGCACACATAAGTGTTTTTTCCAGAAGAGCCAGAATTTATAGTTCCAAATTGCAAAATGCAGTCCAATTATTTTGAGGACCCTTTTGATAAGATAAAACAAAATATTTATGCAATACTAGAGTCTCAATATATGTACAACAATATACTGAAAAATAATACACCCAGTGCTGCCATTTCGCGGAATTAATTCCGAACTTCGGGACTTTTTCTAAGCTCTTTTTTAGAATTTCCGGGCTTTTTGTCATTTTGACCGATCATTTAATCAAATTTGATGATTTTTGACCAATTAGGCAATTAGACAATCTTTGGAATTAAATCCGGGCTCATTTGGGAATTTATATCCGAATCTCTGGTAAAATAAAATGGCAGCACTGATGACATGATCACCTTTTGGCCGAGGATTACAAGCGCCAAGTCGTCGTTCTCCTCACAAAAGAACGTAACTACATTTCAATGTTGCCAAATTTTCCCTCGCAAATCAAATTTTTACCAGGGGAACCTAGAGCATCTGTAGATGAAAACGGTTAAGGAGTTTAAAGCACTACACAAGAGTACGTAAAATTTAAAATTTTAAAAAAAATTAAAAAATTTACAATTTCAAAAACTTTTAAAAAACAATTTGTGAAAACACTCACTTGCATAAAATGTTTTGACGGAGCGGACGCGTTTCGGAGGCTCCTGTCCTCCATCATCGGCGCGACTAGCTCTGTAACTAATATTTCCAATGATTTTCCTTCGGATTTCATGTGGAAATCAGAAAATGTTTTGACAGAAATTAGACAGTTGTAGTCATGTAAAATATTGGATTGTTTGAGTAAATGCAACCTCGAAAATGAGTTACGTTTCTTTGTTAAGGAATAAAATACGCATCGGGCGCCAATCTCCGTAAGGTCAATCCTCACTTAAATATTAATTTTTACTATTTTAGTCAAAAAAGTTTGTTTCTCATTCTTTCTTTCTTCAAGCTTTTAATTAGAAAGCAATTTATTATGCCACCTCAGTACAGTTAAAATCAGTACAGTCTTCTCCGTAAGAATTTAGCGAGCTGCTAAATATAGATGGACTGGTCCTCATTACGTCATTTCCGATTTATACCGAGTGCAAAATTTTGATGTATAAAAATATTGATTGCGCTCTCTTGGTTTTTCTGGTTAATAACTTGGAGAAAATGTTGACTTAACTTTTAAAATATTGAAGAAATTCTGAAGCAACATGTGGCA